TTTTTTTTTTTTTAAAGATTTTATTTATTCAGTTTTTTCCCCCCAAAGCCCCAGTAGATAGTTGTATGTCATAGGTTCATATCCTTCTAGTTGCTGTACGTGGGACTCGGCCTCACGTTGGACGGAGAAGCGGTGCCTCGGGGCGCACCCGGGATCCGAACCCGGGCCGCCAGCATCAGAGCGCGCGCACTTAACCGCTAAGCCACGGAGCCGGCCCAGGAAACACACTTTAGAATCAAAGATACAAAGAGATTGAAAGTAAAACTCTGGAAAGATACATGTGTGAACAGCACACACAAGATACCTGGAGAGGTGATACAAATTTCTAGCAAAATAGACTTGAAAACAAAGACTATTACTAGAGATAATGAAAAACATTATATCATAACTAAAATGTCAAAGTTTAGTCTGCATCTAATGTAGTAGAAAAATAAATTTATAGCCTTTAATGCCTATACTAAGGAAGAAGAGAGGTCTCTAATCAATAACCTAACCTTTCACCTTAACATTTAAATAATGAGGTACCAAACTCAAAGCAAGGGGAAAAGGAAATAATAAAAATTAGACCAGAAATTTGTGAAACAAGGAATGGGAAAACTATGGAGAAAATCAATGAAATGATAAGTGAGTTCTATGGACAGATAAACAAAATTGATAAATCTTTAGCTAGATTGACCTAGAGAAAATGGGGGAAGATTCATATTCATACAATCAGAAAGAAAGAGTGAGATTACTACTGACATTCCTGATCTAAAAAAGATCATAAAATAATTCAATGAATGATTGTATGGCAACAAATTGGATAACTAAGATGAAATGGACAAATTCCTCAAAAGACATAAACTACCTAAATCAAGAATAAATGGGGGCCGGCCCCGTGGCTTAGCGGTTAAGTGCGCGCGCTCCGCTACTGGCAGCCCGGGTACCGCTTCTCCGGCCATGCTGAGGCCGCATCCCACGTACAGCAACTAGAAGGATGTGCAACTATGACATACAACTATCTACTGGGGCTTTGGGGA